CCGGTCTGGCCACAGCCCGTAAGCAACTTCAAAGTTTGTCCGACTCGCCTGCCGAGGCCTATGTATTGTCATTATGGCACCTGATTGGGTACAGGGCGCAGCAATCCCTTCACGTACCCTGGCTGCCTCGTTTGTGACGTGCCTCGAAGCTTCCTGACGGTCAAAGAGGGTGTTATCAGTTCTGGGCACTGTCCGTGTGACTCTCCGCGGAAGCCTGCTCCCGGAAATGCCGGAGCCTAAGGTGTTGCGCCTTGTTCGCTAAGCGAGAGGCGAGGCATTTGAATCTGAGCACTGGATTTGGAGCGCGTTGAAGGATCGCATTGAAGGATCGCAAACGTGGCAACAGCCGGCGGCTTGGACATCCGGCCCCCCAATCAACCCCACCTTCTTGTTGAAATTGGAGGGCAGTCTATGGGACTGAAGGGTTCAGCTCTGACATCTCATGCATCAGGTGAAGAGATCATGCCAGCAGATGGACCAAACAAAGGTACAGGACTGAAGTGGCCTCGGGGCTTCCGTATCTGTTGGATCATAGTCGCAGGCGAAAGACGCAAGCTGCTACTCGCAACCAGGGAATGGACCCATTCACAAGCCAATTCTTCGACATTGACCGTGTTACCCGTCGGGAGATTTCTGAGATACCCATCACAATCTATCGGTTTGGGGGCTGTCGTGGAAAGCCCGCGTGACATTTGTTCGCCATAGCTAAGCTCGGGGTTGACCAAGACGACACCAAAGGGGCTCCCGATGAAGGAATGGCCTAGAGCAACATGCCCCTGCCACATAACACACTTCTGTCAGCCCAGTAATATCGAAATCCTCTTTCTCAAGGTAAGAATACACGGAGCATGATTCTTGTTGGGTTAAGAGCCAGGATGGTGAAAGCTGGCATAGCAAGACCTACCTACGGTGTAGGTTTTGATAGGGTACTTGTCACAGGGAGAAAGCTAGACGAGCTCCTCGACGCCAGGCCCCCGCAGTCAGTGAACAATTCGGTGGTAGTTTCGAGACAGCAGAGATGTTCGAGGTGATATGCCGTTGACCCCAGGCCTGGTATTTTACATAGTGACAAGGTTATGGTACAATCCATCTCTACACAAGGCTCAACCCCTTCGGCTGGCCTCGATCTCCGCCTTGCGCTGGGCGATGCGCTTCTTGTAACGGACCTCGGTCCTCCTCCTCTCACCGCCATCTACCTTGATACCCTGTCTATGCTCCCACATGCCCTCGACGACCTGCACCTTTGCGCCGTCACCGGCCTTCAGGGGTAGCGCATAGGGGCCCGTGATCGCACTGGCGCCGCGCACCTGGTACCCTCGAACGCGCTCGTCTGGGCCTTGTACGGTGCCGTCCGCCTTCTGGCCCGCCGGAACGTTGATGACCCACTTGTCGTCTTGTGCTTCGGTGGTCGCAACCTGGAGGTACGCCTCGCCATTCTCAACGTGCTTGAAGTCTCCGCCGGGGCCGAGGGCGCCCTGCCTGTAGCGCTCGAGCCAGGCGAGAAGGTAGCGGCGTGTGCGTGGCGGCTCGATGCCCAATTCCTTCATCTGCATCGAGTCGGAGGTGAAGAGGGAGTTCCACGTGGGAAACTTCTCGGCGTATTGGCTGAGGCCGCGGCCAAGGACCTTCAGGAGCGTCGGGACATCGGGAACGAGAGGGACAGGCTGGGGAATTGCCGGCGTTGCTCGTTTAGAGGCCCATCGTAGTTGGCAGGTGTTGACTGTGGATATCCGCGGAGCAATTGAGCTCAGGGACGGGATTCGAAGCTGAGGAGCCTTCATCGTGGATCTGATGTCGCGTGGATAGGTCAGATATGCGTCTAAGGGGAATGGCGGTCGAGTGTCAGCAGACGAACCGCAGAAGGCGCACCAGCTCGCTTTGGCTGCCGAATTTGCTCCGGAAGTAATTGCGATACAATGCCGCGAAGGGGTGGTCGAGGAAGGCGGAAGTGGATTATGATCGTAACGCCTGTCAAGCTAAGGATACCCTCAACCTCTGGGAATTTGCAGATCGGATTGAAAAGTTGAATTATGTAATCAGCACGGGACTGAGAGAAGCCGCTTTCCGAGCCAAGTGTGCAGACGGCCTGGGAACGCGCTTGGTTCGCGTCCAGCTTCTCGGTCAGTTCGGTGAAGTGACCCACTTGGCGACGCCACTACGGGAGCCATTTGCCCCTCGGCGCGTTGGAAAGAGATGTTATCGATAAGAGAAGGCAGCCTACAGCCTCGTAGCTGCCTTGTGAAGGAAGAATGAAGGACGACGTTTCATGCCATTCACCTCATCCTTCTAGTGAAATGATATAGAAAGGAGGCCATCAACCGACAAGAGTCAACGAAATGGCCCCGTAATATGTTTAGTGTTGACGCGCCCCCTGTCTCCACGGCTGTGCGTACCTGCACCCCCACGACGCTGTGATGCCGGCCTCAAAGTCAAAAGCCCGACTTCCCAAGCCGTTTCCTTTGGTTGACTTGAATGGTAAATTGAGACAGCCTTCCAGTTCAGTTCGATTGAATGTTAATGCCTGATTTGTAGATGAGATTCCTTCTGCTTTAATTGAGGCCTTAGTGGCCCTTCGCGCTTCCGAAAGCGACGACGTCTTACGTGAACCGCCCTCGAAACGAGCAAAGCTGTCTCGTGACGACCCATTTCCAGCATATCTCATCACACGGCAAACACTTTCCATCTGTAGGCGGGCTGAGGAGACACTGAACCTACCGGAGCCAGCAATTCGAAATGATGTCGGCAGCCACCTGCAGCTATCGTACGTGAGCAGCCAGTGGTCTTCGAAGCAACTGAAGCTGTCGGTACCATCCGCTGGTATCGCGGGCCGAGCGGCTCTTGCACTACGCCCTGATTCTGTCAGTCAAGCGTTGGGGGCGTGCATAAACATCCACAGCAAGGAATCAAGAGTTGATGAGGGCGCAATCTGGACAACTGTCGGCCTCCGGATCGAACGACAGGGCAAAAATGTACTGGTCGTGTTCGATCTCGAGCTATACTGGAACGCGACCTTTTCTCCCTTCCGACTGCGTACGCCTCGTCAGCGGGAAACCAGTCAGATGGTTTTATCAACGTTTTTCAACAATGACGAGACAACAACAACAACGACAACCCAGGTCGCAGAAGCGACGTGGACACCCTTGGACTTCTATGAAGCTGCCTTCGTGCCTCCAGCGACAGATGGATCCGCATTGGCTATCGAAGTACCAGGTCTCAACGCGTCACTCTACCCCTACCAGAAGAGGACTTTGAAATGGCTGCTGCATCGTGAGGGTACGCGCTGGGTGCCTCCATCAAACGGATCAGCAGCGGGCTTGAAAAGCGTAGAGGAAACTGGGACTTTGCAGCCCGCTCGCAGTTTTGGGGAGATTTCAAGCCCCAGCAACGTGCAGTGGTATCTCAGTCACTTATACCATGCAATAACTCCCGAGACCTCAGCCTTCTTGAGCGCCGAGAAGGTGGTTAGAGGGGGTATTCTTTCAGAGGAGATGGGTCTCGGTAAGACTCTCGAAATTATTGGATTAATTTTGCTCCACAGGCGTCAACCCGCGAACGAGGATTCGTACCTTCATTTCAACAACGAGAGACTCGTCAAGAGCGGAGCTACGCTCATTGTTTGCCCCGAGTCTCTGAGACAGCAGTGGATGGATGAGCTCGAACGCCATGCCCCCCATCTACTCGTCAGCTACTATCCTGGTCGAGCTCAATTTCGTAACCAAACCGAAGAGGAGGTGTTCCGAAACATGGCGGCACACGACGTCATTGTTACCACCTACAAGACGCTTACCGCCGAAATCCACTACGCAACAAAACCACCAGAGAGATCGAGGCGAAGAGAACGCGAATACGAGCGCCCCAAATCGCCCCTCACTCAGATCTCGTGGTGGAGGGTGTGTCTTGACGAGGCGCAGATGATCGAGACAGGCGTTAGCGCGGCTGCCCTGGTGGCACGCGTCTTGCATCGCGTTAACGCATGGGGAGTGACAGGGACACCTGTCAAGAAAGATGTACAAGACCTGTTAGGTCTTTTACTCTTCCTACGATTCGAGCCTTATTGCTCATCTCCCCAAGTTTGGAAAGCGTTGACCAAAAATCACAAGCCGCTGTTTCATAATCTCTTCCATGACATTGCGATACGGCACACGAAGAATCTCGTCAGAGATGAACTGGAACTCCCAGCTCAAAAGCGATTCGTCATTACGCTGCCATTTACCGCCGTTGAAGAACAGCACTATCAATCAATCTTTGCCGAGATGGCCGAAGTGTGCGATGTCGATCTGGATGGAAATCCCATGTCGGCCGACTGGGATCCCAAGAGATATGAGGAAGCCATGAGGACTTATCTGAATCGCTTGAGACAGGCAGCGCTGCATCCCGAAGTCGGCGTTCAGAACCGCCGCGCTTTGGGTCACAGAGCAGGTCCCCTTCGCACCGTCGACGAAGTGTTGACTGCCATGATTGAGCAGAGCGATGCTTCGATTCGAACCGAACAACGAGCGTACTTCACCGCTAGACTCAACTATGGCCAACTGCTCGAAAACGGTCCTCTCGTTCAAGAAGCGTTGGTGATCTGGGACCAAACGAGGCGTGAAGTTGAAGAAGTGGTTGGGAAATGCCGGCAAGAGCTCGATGTTGCGATGAACGCTGCTAAACGGGCCATTTCTGAGAATGGATCCGTGTCCAACACGAATGGCACTTCTGATGAAGATGTTATCGAAGGACTGGACGAGTATGTCTCAGACTTGGCCGAGCGCAGTGCACAGCTGATGACAATTTAGGTACCAAGCTAGCCCTGAGGTCGGCGAGGCTCTCATGCGTCTTCGATCAGCTCTAGAGGTCCAGCACCGAGCCATATTCTTCTGCGCAAATGCGCGGTTTCAGATAAAGTCCAACAGGGACTTTACTGAGCCTGACTCTGCCGAGTTCTCTGCACTGCAGAAGTTGGAAGAAGAAGGCTATGAAACGGCAAAAGGGGTACGACGAGAGATTTTGTCAGAGGTAAGGCAATATGGAATCTCTTTCTGGCAGGCACACTGATCCCTTTGAATAGAACCACAGGAAGGCCACGAAAGCAATGCGAAAGTTAGGGAATGACGCTGTGTCGCAGAACTTTGTTACAATACCAGAGCTGATCCCGAACCCGGTCAAGGGTTTGGAAAGCGCCACAGTCGTGGAAAAGGTCGAGGAGCTTTATGGCTTCTTGAACTTGCAAGCAAATCTCATTGACGAATGGAGAGAAGTCATCGTTGGTCTTCTCTTGCAACCTCTTGTGGACGAAGAAAACGAAACAGAAACAACAGGCGATGAGTTTGTCAATTCCACGGCAATACAAGAGCAACTAATGGTTCATGTTCAAGTGCTTCGAGCCACCATAGCGGATCGACAAGATGCCATTTCTGGCCTTCAGAATATGCTTGTCAAGCACGAGACTCAGACAACAAAGGCACTGGCCATGGACGGTGAGGGTCCTGCTCCAAAGACCTTGATTGAGCTGCTAGACGTGCGAAATAAAGTCAAGCCATCACTAGAGAAGCACGGGTGTCTACGCGGCGCGATTGGGGAACTACGTGCGCTCGCCGCTAGACTCCCGCCGCATGAGCCTGGAAAGGATAGCAGAGCAAATATGGAGCATGCAGTGGTGAATAGGCAGATCAAGGATATCCAGGCCCAGATACAAGCCCAGACGAAAGCTTCTCAACGTCTGGAGCGGGAATGCGACGAGTTCACCAACGCCATGAACCTTCGGCTGGACTACTATCGTCAACTGCAGGCCATATCAGACAGCGTTGATGTTTATGAAGGGCCAAAGACGCAAGATATCTTGGCGAAATGGGTCAATGCTGCAGAGACGGCTCACCGCAAGCTCTCATCCGCAGAAGCGAAGCAACGATATCGTAAGTCAACTCCTTGTACGGTTGGCTCACAGCGATGGTCTTCACGCTAGCATCCCTCGTATCCCTACCTTTATTCTGGATTTGCATGTACTGACACAACTGTCGGTATAGTTGTCAGCCTCCGAGACGGCGGAGCATCAAAAGCCAATGAGCCGAAGATGTGCATCATTTGCCAAACAGACTTCACAATCGGGGTTCTTACTGTTTGTGGTCATCAATTCTGCAAGCATTGCCTCATGCTCTGGTTCAAAGCGCACCACAACTGCCCCATGTGCAAACGAAAGCTCAAGATCACCGATCTCCACACAATTACACTCAAGCCAAGAGAATTGACTCTCCATACCGAAGACGTTCCAACGTCCACACCAGGAAAGAAACGCAGTGCAGCCCAGAACAAATCAGCCATTTACTCGGAATTCGGCGCGGACAAGCTGGCACAGATCAGAGACGTTGACTTGGAAGGCCCACCCTTGACCACAAAGGTTGATTCCGTTGTTCGACACCTGCTCTGGCTCCGAGAATCTGATCCTGGGGCTAAATCCATTGTTTTCTCCCAGTATGAATCGAAGCCCACCCCTCTTGGCACAGTCACTGACCACGCAGAAGATATCGAGACTTCCTACAAGTCATAGGGTCCGCACTCTCTCGGTCTCGGATCGGCTACACGTCGATCGACAAGCCCAATGGGGTACAGCGTTTCAAAGAAGATGCGGGCTTGGAATGCTTCCTGCTCCATGGACGGGCCCAGTCAAGCGGCCTGAATCTCGTGAACGCCAGCCACGTCTTCTTATGCGAGCCGCTACTGAACACAGCGATAGAATTACAGGCCATTGCTCGTGTGGATCGGATAGGTCAACAGCACGAAACAACGGTCTGGCTGTACCTCATCGAAGGCACCGTGGAAGAGTCTATTTACAATCTTTCGGTCAAGAGACGCCTCCAGCATCTCAGCTCTGTCACCAAGGGAAAATCCAAAGATTCCACCCCCGACGTTTTGGGACCGACGCTCGAAGCTGCGAACACGTTCGAGATGGAAAATGCAAGGCTCTCGAAACTGATGAGCAAAGACCGAAGTGCCGGGGAGGCAGTCGACAAGGAAGACCTCTGGGAATGTTTATTTGGACACGTCGCAAGAGCAGCGAACTCAGAGTCGCGAGAAGAGCGGGGAGAGAACCCGGCAGTCATGAATCTCCTGGCGGCCGAGGCAGCCGAGACGCGGCGGATGATGGAGAACGCCAGCAAGCTCGAAACATGAGCTCTTAGTACATATACCCCTCAGCTTTATAGCAACAGAGAGTTCGAGCTCAAGGCGGACGTCTTCCGATTCGTGAGGTCTCAACTTTGCAGTAGTGTCTCGCAGTGACATGTCAAGCGCTCGTTGCTTCTGGAAATCAAGGATTATCCTTTCAGGGGGAGTGGTTCAGGGTCGTAGCTGATGTCGACCTTGGAGGCTGGTCGCCAGCCGGCATCAGCCGGTGTGGGGTGTTCCCCGCAATGCCAATCGACAGCTCGTGCTGTGACGTTCCGGGCTGGGCTTCGAGTTTCGTATCGTTCCTGTCCAAGCACCTCTACAGTGCTGACCTGTATTCAACATCCCCAACGTGTCGCCAATTAGGAGGCAACCTCCCTCAAAACAAGTCTCAAGCTCCGGACATGGCATAGTCCGAGGACCATCTAATTTCCTCCCACAATTCGCAGCGCCTTGATTCCACAACCACCTGCGGCTGGCCGCCGTCCAACAGCAATGCACAAGGCCAAGGGCAGGGGGGGTCCCCCTCAGCGGACCAGCATCCTCAGTGCCTTGAAGGCGACGGAGATGCTGGGTTCCAAGCCGACCCTCCCCGCGGGTTAGGAGCCCCGACCTTCCGATCCGAGAGGGACTCGCACTGACGACAGCAGAGATTCTTGTCGCCATTCTCGACTACCTCCCCGTCTCCGACCTCATGCGCGTCGCGCGGTGCTCCTGGCGCATGCAGGAGATGGTCTACGACGACACACGATGGGTGGCCCGGGTTGAAAAGCATGGGTGCTGGGACGAGGCCGAGGCGAGCAGCACTTCGAAAA